ATTATAAAGTGAGGCCTGTGTGCGTGTGTGTGTGTCTGTGTGGTTGGGTAGTATGGGGAATGGTTTCTACTTTAGTCTGTCTGTATCCTTCTTTTTTTCTTTTTCCCCCCAAAGCCCCAGTAGATAGTTGTACGTCATAGTTGCACATCCTTCTAGTTGCTGTATGTGGGACGCGGCCTCACCATGGGCGGAGAAGCAGTGCGTCAGTGTGCGCCCAGGATCCGAACCCGGGTCGCCAGTAGCGGAGCGCGCACTTAACCGCTAAGCCACGGGGCCGGCCCTGTCTGTATCCTTCTTACCTAATCCCTTTTAGAAAATATACTACAGCTGCTACTGCTCCTCCTACTTCGGCTATTATTAATATAATTTATTAAGAGCTCACCACATGTCAAGTTTATAGTACTCCTTAAATTCTTCATGAGGTATATTCTATTATTATACCCATTTTACAGATGAGGAAACTGAGCCACAGGGAGGTTAAAAAACTTCCTTAAGGCTACTTAGCTAGTAGGTGGCAAAGCTGGGATCTGAACCCTGGCCATTTGACTCTAGGATGAACAGTCTTAATCACCACACAACACAGCCACACGTGATACCACCTGCTGTGAGTAAAAGGACAACATAAGATGACAAGCATCAAAATTACGTAGGACATTCCAGGGTGTGTGACTACTCTAAAATTACTACTACAAATCATAGACTCTGAAGCTATTTTCAGAATTATTTAGGAAAAATAAACAATAAGCTAAAGGTCAAATTAGTCTCTTTAAATGTTCTTTAGCATGTGTGTACAGAACATCAAGTATATAGGGGTGGGGACAGTTGCAAAAGTGTGTATTTTAGGAGAAAGATTTTGGAGATGGGAGTTGGAAGGTCTGAATTTTAGCCTTGGTTCCATCATTTAATCTAATTAATAGCTTAACCTCAGGAAAATTACTTAAATCTTCTAGATATGATGCTTTCTCTGATGTTCTGCATAGGATTGAGAATACGTGAGAATACAGAAAAGAAAGAAATCACTAATTAAAACCAACATGACAAAGACAGTACTGTCATCACCAGCTGAGTGGGGATGTGGTTTCTAAGTGTCTCCACAGCACTCAGGAGTGGCAGGCAACTGATGTCTCTGCTGCCCTCCCCCTTCCCTCTCCTCCAGCAGCTACTCAGTGCAAAGCATTGTCCTCTCTTCCACCTAGTGTGGCTTTAATCACTCCTTTCTTCTATCATTTCAACTAATTCCCAAGGTGAAGAACTCACATTTTTTTTTTTTCCCTGAGGAAGATTCGCCCTGAGCTAACATCTGTGCCAATCTTCCTCTATTTGGTATGTGGGTTGCTGCCACAGCATGGCCGCTGATGAGTGGTGTAAGTCCATGCCCGGATAACCAAACCCAGGCTGCCAAAGTGGAGCATATTGAACTTAACCACTAGGCCACAGGGCTGGCCCCGTCACTTATAATTTTTTACACAATGAATTGTATTCCTGAAATTGATCATGTTGTGATTTTGTATAAAATTATTTCATAAGTCATACACTAGAAAACAGAATGATGCCTCACTAAAGCCAGAATTTTATTGGTTTATTGATTGATGTTGGGATTTAGTTTCCATATAACTATTGGTTGTTATTTTAATTCTCCAAATTAATTTCAAATTATTGGCTCTACACGAATCAAGTTATGGATATTCTAAGTTAGACGTCACATTTATGTATACATCAGACAAGCACTCTAGATTCAGAATGACATGGTGCAAGGACAAAATCGCTATGGTTCATAAATATAAACTAGCTGTTCATGGGAATTTTAGCTTACAAAGGAAATTTTACATTGGATGTAAGTTAGCTCAGCCTTTCCATATGAAAATTTAGGTCTCAATCTACAGTTACTATAGGGGCAGCCCACATGCTTCCTTCTCCTCTTAGGAGCTGCAGCTCAAAGCATAGGTAGCAAAGTGTCCCTACTGCAGCATAAAGTATCCCCTCAGGGACTGGTCATCAGGGAACTGAACATCAGCATCACCCAACATCAGGAGCACCTCCTTCCAGCAGTTGAAGGTATGTGGGAGCCAGGGCAAGGTGGCCCATTGTTAGCATACACTCTGCAAATCTATCCCACTTTAAAGAGAATTTTTAACTTTAAAAGGCAGATTTATGTATTGTAATATATGCCATGACATTGTGTCTCCCTCATCATATTACTCATGATATAAAGTGGAGTAGGCATATTCAGTCCTGCGCAAATTCTTGTAGCTCTAGGAAATGGAGCAGACCTTTCAAAGTGGGTCCTTTCTGATGAGTTATAAAAACTTAGTACCCCTGTCTGGTGGAGTTCTTTACCACCTGCTGTTGATTTTGCCTGTCTGCTTTGGTAGTGGCTAAGTGAACCTTCTAGGTCATGGCTTATTTGTTGTATTTTCCAGATCTATTTAAATTAAGCATTTTAAAATTGCATCATTAGTTTTAAAAAGCATATAGATTATATGTTTATTAGATAAAAATTAGTTTAAACTTTATCTGAACTTAGTTTTAACTACATTTTCTGACCATATACTACAATCAGATTATAAAAGCAACAATAGATGAATAATAGAGTACCAGGTTAGACATGGGGGAATGAATATATACATTTGTTGTTAGTGCCGTTGAGTCAATTCTGACTCCTAGCACCCTGCGTACAGCAGAGTGGAACCCTGCCCTGTCTTTTTTTTTTTTTTTTTGTGAGGAAGATTGGCTCTGAGCTAACATCTGCCAATCCTCCCCTTTTTGCTGAGGAAGACTGGCCCTGGGCTAACATCCATGCCCATCCTCCTCCACCCTACATGTGACGACGCCACAGCATGGCTTTGACAGGCGGTGCGTCAGTGTGCGCCCAGGATCTGAACCGCTAAACCCGGGCCACCGCAGCAGAGCGCACGTACCCAACCACCTGCGCCACAGGGCCGGCTCCTCTGCCCTGTCTTATCTGCACCATCCTTTCACCTTCTGGTGCTATAACAGCCAATGCTCCACTGCTGTTCATTGGGTTTTCATGGCTAATCTTTTCAGAAGTGGGTAGCCAGATCTTTCTTCCTAGTCTGTCTTAGTCTGGAAGCTCTGCTGAAACCTGTCCACCATGGGTGACCCTGCTGGTATTTGAAATACCAGTGGCATAGCCTTCAGCATCACAGCAACAAATGGCTGCCACAGTATGACAATGACAGATGGGTGGTGTGGTTCCCTGGCTGGGAAGAGAACCGGACTGTGGCAATGAGAGCTCAAATCGTAACCACTAGACCACCGGGGCTGGCTGAATATGAATACACACACATGCACACACACACAAATAATGTCATCAACCAAGATAGTTCTCAAGTGATCTGTCTAGTCTACTTAAAAACAAAAACTTGAAAAATGAAGCAGCCACCACTGCCACCACTTCCTCATGAGGAAATATCACAGACTTCATGATTAGGAGATTTTTCCCTTGCCTTAGATACATTTTCCTTCATGTAATTTTATCCGTTACTTTTAGTTACCATTTTAGGTTACTTTGCAAAAATCCTGGTTCCCCTTGCTACTCTTAATTATATCTAGATTATTGTCAACACTGCCTCCTATTTCTTCTCTCTCCACTCCATTGCTCAACCTATTAAGTCATTATTTGGATCTTATCTATGGATTTGATCTTTTTAATCCTGTGTTATAAGTTGATTCTTTCAATTTCAATTGGTTTCTAAATTCTTCCAATCATCTCCTATTTTTCTAAATCTCATCTTCCTTTTGGCTTATTGCTTAAAATAGTCTTATCTATCACGTAGGAAAAAATAAAACAAGAGATACTTGATTTCATTCTTTCAACTATAATAATCTAAAAACATTCATGCAAAAGGATATTGCTTTAATCAGTAGTATTAAAATCATGTTCTTATAATACATTAGAAAGTTTTAAATATTAAACAAAAGTGAAAACAATCATCACCATTACAAAATGCTTGGAGACACATGTAAAAAGCTTCTGACACATTCTTGTTGTCACACCGAGAATCCATACAATGAACAAAAACTAATGAGAACAAAGAAAGGAAAGAAACTACTCTCTTTAACTAAAACACAGTAAAAAAGGAGATGATATAATGTAGACGAAATCATGACTTCTATCAATCAATAGTAAAATCTACTCTTAGGAAAAAACACATACTATGTTATACTTACGTACGTATGTATAATGCTATACATATATATTCTGCTTTAGTATGTTAAAGCAGAAAGCAATATTTAAAAAAAGGTACACTCTACTATTTCTCAGTCATATAAATCAAACCTCACTTTATGAAAATCAAACCAATTCCTTATAAACAGAGAAGGACTTGGAGAAAGTTCTATTAACATAAAGATTTAAAAAAAAAAAGGGCCACAAAGTGAGCATTTAATTAATACACACACACACACACACATGTACTTTCTTTAGGCTGCTGAAATATAAAGTCTTTAATTCTCCATTAAAAAAAAAAGCACAAAAAAACCCTGATTATAAGTTTTAAAACCATTTGAAGATGTGAAAGACTGTCTGCATTTCAGCCTTCTTCAAAGCGAGTAAAGAAATCATTTCTTCTTCTTCCAACTCAAAGTATGTTTAGGAGCAGGACATCTGATAGAAGTGGTATTGCCAATCTAACCAATTTTAAAATATAAAGTGCTTCTGGCAATATCTGGATACATATAATTTGACAAAAAAGTTTTATAAACTCAAGCTTTGAAAAATAGAAAATATAAGCCCCAACAAAAAAGCATAATTTGTAATTGAAAGAAAATAATATTTTGTAGAAAAAAATTGTCCTTCCAAAAAGAGACAAAAATGACTAACTTTTATTTCCCAAGAGAATTATGCCACTTTTATACAACAAAATTACAGTCACCACAAATTGCTTTCAACAATTCCATTGCTTCTTCATTTGACCACTTGAAAATCAAAATTCTTTCAGATTATAAATATAACTTTTTATAACTCTGTTATTACGTACTGTGAACGGGGAAAGGGGGCCAATCTTGTGGCCGTAGCGTCGAACGGCCTCTCTGATGTGGCAGGGCTGGATGGCATCGCTGTGGGCCTCAACACCACAGGCCGCAGTGTTCTGCGACAGAAAAACACATAAATTGTTACTAAATCAAAAACACACAACAGAACTGCAGTGTATAAAATATGAAAATAAACTTTTATAAAATGGATGTTTTTTTCCCTTAGGATACACATCACTGCTGCCATATACTACATCTAAAAAAAATCCCATTAACAAATCAAAGATGACTTTTACATGACCCCTTCCTAGCAGACCTACCAAATGCAAGTTTTATGCCCACAATATTTCACCTAGGCCTGCATGTCAAGGTACAGGAGAATACAGCCACTTGCGTGCAGAGGAAAAGTGTCAGGGGGGCTTGCTAAAAGAAGCACAGGAAGCTATTTTTTTAAAAAACATTTAAACATTTATTATTATAAATCTTGAGAGTTTGTTGGGCATATTTCTGAAATAACTTGAGGGTCATCAATTTTAAAAAGAAAAATGTAAAACTGCTATATATTTATAGTACTGGGGACTGTCATAAAAGATCATTTCAACTTGGTTCTTAATTTTCTAGGTGTCCTCAGGGCAAAAACAAAATAAAACAAGAATCTTCTATTTTAATCTGCCTCATCTGTAAAAGGCAGGTTTGAAAGTACAAAAAGATATAAGAAAGAGAAAGATTATTTGCAATGAGAGTATGAATACCAACTCAAGAAATGTGTGTAGTGTGATTTTTTTAAAAAAAACATTAAAATGCTCAATAGGGGCATTATACTTTCGTGGTTTAGTTGCAGGCTCTGGCTTCCCAACTACCTGGGTCCAGATCCCAGCCCTAGCAGTTACCAGCTCTGTCAAGTTATTTAATATCTCTGCACTTCAGTGTCCTCATCTGTAAAATTGGGATAATAATTACACTTGCTTTATAGGATTTTTCTGAAAATTAAATGAGTTGATATATCTAAACCATTTAGAACAGTACACGTTAGCTATTAATAGCATTAAGTTATTATTTAAATTAAGAGTTAAAAATGGAACCTCCATGTTCTGAAATAAGCTAATTTATTTTAAGTGCAGTGGATACCAGATGCCAGGGTATCAACACCAAAGAGTCAAGAGAAAGAAATAGTAGCTGTGTATCACTATGACTAGAAGTCATTCAGAAGTCATTCAATTAAGATTATCGGTTTCTCTGATAATTACTATAATTACCACTCTCATAATTCCTTGTAGGGGTATAACTAGTACAACCTCTATAGACAGCAATTTAGTAAAATCTTATCAAGATGAAAAAGCAGAACCATTTTTCTTTTGTGAGGAAGATTGGCTCTGAGCTAACATTTGTGCCCATCTTCCTCTATGTTGTATATGGGATGCCGCCACACATGGCTTGATGAGAGGTGCATCGGTTCGTGCCCGGGATTCGAGCCTGCGAACCCCGGGCTGCCGAAGTGGAGCACACGAGCTTAACCGCTACGCCACCCAGCTGGCCCAGCACAATCATTTTTGACCCAGCAACTTCACCTCTAAGAATTTATCCTACAGATATATTACACACATACTATATATATACATACGGATATTCACTGCAGCACTATTTGGATTGATAAACTAAACGTTCATCAATGAGGGAACACTGAAATAAATTATGATACACCTATTCAACGAAACAGAAACCACAGCAACCACCAAAAAGAATGAAGTAGTTACAGACATACTCCTATGGAGCTACCTCTAAGATATATTGTGTGAAAAAACGCAGGGTATCCAACTGGGTGGCATTATGGTTCCACTTGTTTAAAAAAAAAAGAAGGCTGTACATTTACACTCATTGAAGCACAGAACACTTCTGCAGGGGTACACCAAAAATCAGTAACAGTGCTTATCTCTTGGAGGATAAATGGGTAGCTGGAGGACAGGAGTTAGAGAAGACATTTTTTACTGTATATCCTTCGGTATTTTTAAAATAATACTTTTGGTACCTTGTGCATGCTTTTCCTATTACAAACTAGTAACATAATGTAAAAATTCCTACGAAACGAGAGCACTGCTAATTATCCAAGCTGAACCTAAAAAAAGACTTAAAATATAAAACAAAACAGATCTTGATTATTTTTACTATTTTAACAAGATTTGAAATAAGCCAAATAGGAATTTACTCTAGGGTATCTTTCTCAATTTCATTCCAACAATACCCTAAATAACACATCTGCTATGCCCACAATAACATGGATTAAGTTATCTTAACCCCTCACTTTGGCACTAATACAAAAGTGCACAGGATTTTTTTTTTGAATGCTGTCTCAATTCTCATTCCAAATACTTTGTCCCAGTTGGAATATATTAAAATAAATGCAATTATAAGGTACCAGATAAGGGTAAAGACTCTTCTGTGAGTCGAATCAGCTCCAAAATATGAATATGACTAATATAGACATTAACCTTCTCGATTTAACAAATGCTTGTGAAGTAAGTTGAGGCATTCTATCCATTTGTGGAAATGAATGCAAATATTTAGCTGGATTTGGAATCTAAAGTAAGTTTTCCAGTGGAAATACAAAAAAGGGACATCAAGAGGGTCAATATCCTGCACACTAAGTGGAGTGGAAAGTCCTTCCTGTGTATCCTTCTATGGCATCTCCTCTCTCCCTACAAACTGGATTTATTTTTCATTTCTTTTCTCCACGGTCAATAGAGATTCTACTCTTCCTCTACTTTCCCCAATATATTTGGTTTTGGTATAGAACATTTTGGTCAAAATCGCTCAGAACCTCTGGCATGGCAAACAAATAGGATTTGAGAGCACTGAAGTAGGAAGCATAAGTTAGAAACTACCTGTGATTGCTATTGTAAGATATGGAGACAAGTAAGCCAGCCTGGTTGAATCATGTTATCTTTGCCAAAAAGATGAAGTTAACTTATACAAAAAGAAAAATATTCAATTTTGTGAAGAATGTCATTCGATTTTCCACTTGGCCAATTTCAGGTTTATCTGCTATAATTAAGCAACTGCAAACATTAGCATCAAGTTACCATGTTCACTTTCATACTTTCTTGACTTGCCCATTGAGTTCTTAGGAAGGGAATCTTTAAATCCAAAATGTTGTATTCTCAGTATTGTTTCCACCTCAACAAATAACTTCACATTTCTGTCAAGATACAGTACCTTACCAAGGTACATATCATCTGTTCAAATTCAAAATTCATACCAAGTTTAGAATTTTTAATTTAGCAGTGACTCTAACATTTTTATAATATTCTTCAAAATTGTATCAGAAGAATTAGCATTAAATTTATATATTTGTTATCTAATATTGAAAAATCTTACATCTGCTGTGAACACATATGGAGAGTATTAGATTTATGTATCAATTCATCTTTCCTACTCTGAATGTACCCACATTTTAGATATTCTTTAAATTTTTTTAAAAAGAACACACATATTTGACAAAATATTGAGTTCTGTTGTCCAGTGGGTGTCAAAATCTCTGTGGGGACTAAACTCTTTACTTCCTTAAGTAAAGTACAAGCTGCTTGGTACAGTTCTTCGTAGGTCAGTTCCTCCTCCTCTTGGTTGCATTCATACTCCATTCTTGTATTCTTCCATTTCATCTTTATTCACGTCTCTTCATCCAAAAACTGAGGCTGGGTACTGGAAGCTGAAGTATCATAGGGAGTCCCACATACTTCCTGGATTTGAGTATTGTCCCTCTGCTTGTCCTTGCGGGCTTGCACTGAATAAAACCTCTCAGCAGTTTGAACTCTCAAATGTGGTATAAGGAAGTTATATTGAAACTTCTGTTACCCCTCGATCTCTTACAAAGGCTTGTACCTGTCCTGACTCTTTTCTTCCCAACTTCAAAGTTCTTGTCAAGATAAAAGTATCCTCTCCTTTATCAGCTTTCCCTTTGCCAAGGACCTGGAATCTCAGATAATTGCCTCTTATTCTTTACACATCTGTAACAGTGGACTAGATCTTTTGTTAAACTTGAAATATTAAGTCTTACAGAGGAGTAACACGTATCTCAGATGAGAGCAAATGACAGGTTAGTACCACTATTATTAATACTTCTGTCACTTACTGACCACAAAGGTTGACATATAATCTGACTGGCCAGGCAAGTGTCTCTCTCCTCACTGTTGTACAGACAGCTCTCCCAGAGCTTCGTACTTATAGAAGATTTCTCTTCAGATGAAGGTGGGTCAGGCCAAAGGTTATAGTATATAATAGAGTTAATTTCCTCATTTCAAAGTTTAAGATGTTAAATGTTAAAATGGTAGTTCTAAATAATTAGGAAAAGCTTTAACTGAGGAAATAAACACTAGAAAAGGTATTTAAGGGGAAGACAAGAGAGAACTAGTGAATTCAAGGATTCACACATTATCAAATCTGGAAGGAACACAAGTTATCAGCTATTCTAAACTTTCTCAACTCCTACCTTATTTTATAGATGAGAGAGTGAAGATAAAGGGTGTGCCCAAGATTATAATGATAGCATCAGAATACGGCTATACATCAAATTTCCTGGCTCCTATACACATAGCTGGTATATAATAGAGGCTTTATTATTTATGTAGAATGAATTGTACCATGTTACTACTATAGCTTATGTTTCCAGTTAGTAAAAATCAAAATATAGCAAGAGTTTGAATGTAGAAAGATATGGATGAGTAAATAGAGAAATAATTAATAGCTTTGAAGTGGGACATAATTAATTCTGATGTCACTAATTTCGAATTTAGGAGAATTCAGACTTAGACTGGGTTAATACTTTATTCAGGAAAACTTTGCTGTAAAATGACTCTAATTTAATAGCTTTCAACAAGATTGATAGATCTTACAGCCATTTGATTTTCAACAAAGCTGCCAAAGCAATCCAATGGGAGAAAAGAGTCTTCAACAAATGGTTCTGCAATAACTAGATATTCATGTGTAAAAAAATGAAATACACGAAATACCTCATAAAATACACGAAAGTTAATGTGACTTGATTAATAGAACTAAACATAAAAGCTAAAGCTATGAAGTTTCCAGAAGAAAACATAGGAGAATATCATCATGACTCGGGAGTAGCCAAAGGTTTCTTAGACAGGACACAGAAAGTAATAAACATAAAAGAAGAAACTGGATAAATTAGACTTCATTAGAAGCTCAAAACTTCTGCTCATCAAAATACACCATTAAGACAATGAATAGGTAAGCCACAAACCAAGAGAAAATATGTGAAAAACATACATTTGACAAAGGATTGCTACAAAGGATATATAAAGAACTCCTACAAATTGGTAATAAAAGACAACCCTCCCTCAAAAAAATTGGGTATAGGATTTGAAGAGACTCTTCCCTGAGGAAGATATATGAATGGCTGATTAGCACATGAAAAAATGTTCAACATCATTAGTCATCAGGGAAATGCAAATTCAAACTATAATGAGTCACTTATCCATTAGAATGGTTAAAAGTGAAAACAATGACAAGCATGTCCTCGAGCACGTGGAGCAACTGGAACTCTCATATATTGCTGGTGGAAGTATAAAAAGATACAACCATTTTGGGAAAAAAAATCTTGGAGTTTCTTTAAAAACCAGACACATACCTACTCTATGACCCAGTAATTTCATTCCTAGTTATTTACCTAAGAGAAACAAAGGCATTTGTCCACAAAGACTTGTATAAAAATGCTCATAACAGGTTTATTCATAATACCTCAAAAACTGGAAACAGCCTAGGTGTCCACCAAAATGAGAATACATAAACAGATATATTCGAACAATGGAATAAAGAGGAATAAATTATACTTATATTGAAAAACATAAATTTCAAAAATATCCTGAATGAAAGAAATTTCACACAAAAGAGTGAATATACTATATTTTCTTTATATGAAGTTCTAGAATAGAAAAAACTAATCTATGATGAAAAAATCAGAACAGTGGTTGCTCTTCTGAGGAGGATGGCGGGAACTGACTGCGAGGTGGCATGAATGAACTTTCTGAACTGACGGTAATGTTTTATATCTTGAGAAGGGTTTAGAAAATAACAGGTTTATACATTTGTCAAAATTCACCAAGTTATATACTTAAGAATTGAGTGGTTCACTGTGTATAAATTTTACCTTAAAAAATAGAACCATAAACAAATTATACATAATGAAGTGTTGAGGCATGAAGTGTACTGTTTACAGCTTACTTTGCAATGTATCAAAAAAAAAAGACAAATTAATGGATGACTAAAGGAACAATTACATGCATAGATATAATAAACATTAATGTAATAAATAAACAGTAAATAAAATGTTAATTGTGGAATCTAGATGGCAGATAAATGGTGTTCACTATATAATTCTTTTAACTTTTTGTATGTTTGCAAATTTTTATAATAAAATATTAGAAAAAATCAATATCTTGCTTTATCTAGAAAAAAGCCGTTAAAAAAGTTAAAGTAGAAGTCATTAAGCACTGTTAAGTGCAAACTGGCTGCCTCTAAAAATTTGAATAATGAGAAAAACAGAGCACATTTTCCATACTTCTGAAAAGAACTCAATTAAGACCTTCTCCACTCTGCACCAAAAAAAGAAAAAGAAAAAAAAATTATCACAGACCTTTTTTCTTTTCTTTTGCTTGGTTTTAGCTGACTCTTGTCCAGCGCTCCCATTCCCTAGGGATCCTGATGTGGTTTTCCCTGAGTGCTGTGATCCAGATGATGGAGCTGTTGGTGTAGGAGGAGGTGTGTTCTCAGGGGAGTCTGGGTAGGACTTCAGGCAAGACCCCTGCCCAAAGAGATGTGGCTTTGAAATCAAGTGACCAGGGCTTCTACCAGCATTCTATTTTAATATCTCATGAATTTAATACTATTTGAAGCTTACAAATATAAGAACACAATTTATTATTATCCAGTCCATAGAAATGATGACCCCATCTTGCCCTTAAGGGCCTAACTATGTTAATTTTTAATCTAATCATTTAGATAAAAGCAGGATTCCTCAGATACAGCTTCCAAAATTTCTGCTGATTTTGTCAGATACAGACATTTCCACTTGGAAGTTCTGTTAGCATTTCAAACTTACATGTTTCAAAAGGAACCTCTAAACCTTCCCCCAAACTAGATGCCTTCCAGACATTATTCGTATCAGTGGTGACCAGCCTTCTCCCAGTAACTCAAACTCAATGTCTTAGGGTCCATGTAGATACCTCTAACTCCTCTGACATCTAGTTCCTTCTTTCTTTGATAGTATCTCTCATATCTATCTGGGTTCCTTTGGCTATGACTACAAGTCTGTTCTCTCTTCCATGTGGAAGCAATTCAAATATTTAAAGACTGTTACATTTCACAGCCTCTTCTCTGCTATAGGTCAAACACCTCAAGTTCCTTCAAGCACCTATTATGAGATATGTTCTCAGGTTCCTTCACCCCCTGATTACTCCCCTTTAGACATCCTCCACTGTGTCAATATCCATCCTATAGGATGGTGCCTATAAAATAAAACTAAAAAAGTTTCCTTATCAGTAACATCACAATTTGGCTCCTAAGAAATTTATAGGCAAATAAGTCTATTAAGTGTTTTTCATATATGGTATTATTAATCTACATTTTCTTCATTCTATCAACTGCACTAACCATATTATCTACTGACCTACAATTCTCTATAATGTATTTAAAAATTATGCTAAACTTTGTAAAATGTTTTGCTGAAACTCAGATATTGGTTTCAAGAGTATTTCTTTGATCTGCTTGCCTAGAAACATTATCAAATAAGAAGGAATAAGCAAATCTGGCATGAGTTGTCCTTAGGAAAAACAAGATAACTCCTAGGGATCACTCTTCCTGTGCATAAATCATATGCTAGGAAAAAAAACCCAGAAAATTAACTTGAATTAATATTAAACTTGCTGATCTAATATGAGAAACCCAAGCTTAACTAGCTCAATTCCCTATATGGTTAGTGCTCAACAATGATAATTAGTAAAACAGAATGCACTGTGTCTTAACTCCATGCCTTGAGTTTCCAGTTCCAATCCACTGCACATAGCACCTCCATTTGGAGCTTCTTAAAATGCCCTTTTGAACTCATCACATTTTAGCCAAGAAATCTTCAATTCTTCCTTAATAACTAAGAGTCTAAGGCCTTAACTTTCTAATCTAACTTTCTATTACCCATCCTCAATGAATCCTTTGCTTGGATATTTTAATCAGAGATTTTTTTTTTCCCTTGTACAATTTTACTTATGCTGCCTCTGAGGCCTGGAGTATTCTCCCCACTTTTATCATCTTATCAAAGCAGTCCTATCTTTCCTTCAACACCCAGCTTCTTCTCTGAAGTCTTCTCTGATTGTAATTAGGGAATTTTTTGTTTTTTACCTCTGCACTTTCTGTCTTTGCCACTCATTTAGAAATTAGTATATGCTATCTTGATTTGTTTGCTTGTTCATTTATTTCCTTGTTTGTTTTACAGAATGTTTTATCTCCCTGAATACAGATGATACCAGTCTCCAGAGTCCCCCTTTGTACCCAAGTTGGTCAAGTCCTGAAAGCAGGCCCTTGATGTGGTTGCTGATTTGTAGTTGATGAGTAAGATTCCCACTTTAGAATGACCATTCTCTTTGTGTTTTGTCAGGTAATAAAGGGCAGGAAGACTTCCAGTCCCTCTGAATGTTCATTTTGACCACCAGTCGCATAAGAGGAGGGGTGTCTGGCAGGCCAGGGAAAAGCTTGAGGCTTGTACTAACATATTTAGTCAGGATGCTTTCCGACACTCATGCTCCCACCTCCCAGAGAGCCCAGGAAATCCAGCACACATAGGCCATTTTTCTTAACTGCTGGGTAGCTGGGAACAGTGGCTGTGGTTGCTGAGCAGTTGCCCAGGGCAGCGTGGCCACCCTGGAGAACCAAGACAGGGGGGGAAATAAAGAGTTTTCCTAGCCATGCAAGCAATCCCTTGAATGTTAAGGGAAAACTAGGCTTGTTATGTTCACTGTAAATTTCTTCAATTAGAAATGTTACAACAAATTTGTCTGATGTTAATGAAAAGCATACTTATACACATATTCATAAAGTGAACATATATCAAAGACATTTTAAAGGGTGTTCTTTGACATCATAATTTGGGTTTGTAACATAAAGAAAACAACTAGTGTTTAATCAACTGGGTAAGCTTTAGAGACTTTTAAAGTATGTTGACTGATAATGATGTGTGACCTTTTCCAAGAAAAAAATGGATTTTTAATGGGCACAAACATTTTAATTTCTACTTGGATTCCAAGCCAATCTGATTCTCCAAAAAGCACAAAAAGATGTCAAACTCTTGGCTTGTAATAAGTTGCTATAAAGGCATATACCCATATATATTTTCTAAGTATCCTATAGAAGAAATACTTAAACTTAGGGTCCATAAAGTTCATAGATCCCTTAGATCCATAGAATGGATTCACAGGGTCTCTGAACACCCTAAAATTGTATGCAAGATTTGTGAATATGTTTATGGAGAAAGGGTTTATAGTTTTTGTCAGATTCTCAAAGGGGATTAGACATTTTCAGATTATATATTTCACCCAACTTGAACCAAAGCTCACTTCACAATTACACATGTAGATGTTAACCTAACCTCCTTGCCGTCTTCTCTATGGTTACTGGATTGAATTATATGAAATTGCTGTTTATGTCAGTAAAAAAGGTCAAGTATTAGCAAATTCATCAAATAAATACTACATTTCTGGTTTTTTGTCACTTGCTGCTTACAAAGAATATTTTTTATACCAGAAGTGGTACACTGTCATTACACAAATCCTTAAAGTTGGCCAGAAGACTTTGCAGTCCTCCTAGGTAGGGATCTCAGCAACATAAACTGGATCACAAAGGATGTGATCTTCACAGCGTAGGGCCAAGCTAAACACGAAGGATGAATGGAGCCATGCTTTTTGAAGTCATGTTTAGAGACGGATCAATAACTGGAAAGTAAAATTATCAATAAATGTCATGACTTATTAATAATAATCTTCTCATCTTTGAGGTACAAAGAAATAAGTAACTTTTTTCAATGTTATTCAGTTACCTAAACCAGTTGTTGACCTCCCATGGGAATGAGACATGCTCTGCAACTATCCCTCTCTCACTGAGGGGAAAAAAATCACCGTATCTGTGGATTGTTAGGGCCCAGCATGCAGTAGGTGCTCAATAAATATTTATTTGAATGTTGAATGTACTAAGAGTCTCTGAGGGCTATAAACTCCTACATAATCTTTTTCAAGAGAACTACTAATGTAAATACCAGAAATGAGAAAAAATCCACAGATGTGTCAAAGAGATTTTTTGATACTTACCTCAGCAGAGTTGTGATACTGAATGAAGGTTGCAGAAATGGCGTGGCTGAAGGGGTCTCCTGCCTTGGCTACCATGTCCTGCCTCACAAGAAGAGCCAGATCCACTAACTGAAAGATCAGAGCAATGAAAATCAAGCCATATAGCTGGAGATAATCATCAATGTCACCAAAGTGGCAGAACTAAGAGCAGGACATTCCAAATGTTATTGATAATAGTGTCTGCCTCAAAATCTGTATTGTGAACATGGGCACATACATGCCTTCACTGACTGGTAAATGGACCCACCCATGAATAGAAATGATATATTCTGACCTTTTGGGGAGTAGTCCTCAAACTTTATTTCATAACCACTAGGGATGCATTTTAAAAAACAGATTTCTGGGCTCCAAGCCCTGAGATTCTAATTCAGTAGGTCTGCTCTCAGGGGTAGCTTAGGAATTTACAATTCAAACAAGAACGAAGGAGATGCTAATGCTTGTGGTCTAAGGACCATGCTTTGAGAAACTGTTAAAGGGCAGTGATTCCAGACTCAGATTTTGGCAAGCAGTCAGTAGATTGTACATATGTAGAAAGGTATTTTTCAAAGTTCAAAAATAATCTCTAAACAAGGCAGATGTGTACTTAGAATTCAATGTTGAGAAAAAGTAAGCAGGCATTCCATTTCTGATTAGGATAAAGTTGCAAGAAACAGTCACTATTATCCTAATACCCACCAAAGCTGAGGATGCAAAGAAACACAAATGAACTAAATTTCAGAAAATGATCAGATTGTCATAGAAGAAAGTTCATGGCTGTTCTCATTCCTGGTAGAGCAGCAGGTGGAAGAAGAATTGATCATGGACAGGGATAGGAGAAAGCCTATATGGCCAGTCACGTATGGTCTCATATGACAGATTAGAATTCTTACCTGTGCCACAGTTTCATGTGCTAAATATGCTAAAATTTCCATAGCGCCAGCATCGGGTTTTATCTCCATGCTACTGCAGTCCAACCAGTCTCGAAATTTGGAGGCTTTTTTGGCTATTAAAAAAACAAGCATAGAAAATTTAATTTTTGAAGTGTTTTAATACTGCATGTTACTATCACAAAATGAAAAATATGTCTCTTGAAAATTGCATATGAAAAATAACGCATATAAAATGCAATGTTTTCAAAGTTTTATTAGTGTCTAGATAGTCTGGCCCCAAGAAATCCGTTCTACATTTGGGTCATTTATTTTGTATCTATGCTACATGACATAGTAAACTAAACCTCTAATGTTTAGCATTTCTCACACTGCGTCAGAATAAGTTACCACTGGCCATAGATTATGTTATAGCAATAGTCAGAAGAGTTACTTGCTTGATGTTACTTTACTTTATTCTTGTGGAAAGAAAATCCTGCAAGAAAGAACCTGTGATGAAAAACGGAACATACAGAAATCGTATTTTTAATACCTTTCAAAACATGTCTATTACTAGAAGAGGCTCAAAGTTGCGAATTTAGAATTAAAGAGAATAAACTGATATCTGGCCTGATCTAAGACTGTGGTTACATTTTCCTTATTACAGAGATGTCTAAATTCTTAAGCCTGACTCTTAAAACCATCCAGTCTGATTCCAACTTGCCTTTATATTGTTCCCTATTCACATGTCACCTGGCCTTGAGGATAATCCTCTCCATGTTCACTCTTGCTCCTTTCCCTGCATGGAATGCCCTCTCATCACTCTTCTTCATTCATATGAACCTGCCCAGACAGGCCAGAGAGATACTTCCCCACTCTAGTCATTTATTGAATACTTATATCAGCAGATATCCTTTCATGTCTGCTTATAATTTCGCAAACCATATTATAAGTTCTTTGTGGGCAACCACCAGGTCTCTCTGCATACCTAACAGTACCAAGCACATGTGGAACCTTCCGTTAAATATCTCTAAACTGCCACAGTGCTAAGCAGAGTCTAACGTGATATAAGGCCTTCATTAGGTATTACTAATTTAGCCAGTAACCTAGAGGGAAAAGATTGATAGTGAAGATTTTATCGTATCTATAACATAATCTATTTAAAAAAATCCACTGATTATTCTTTTGATTAATCTGGTCCCACAGGTCCATAAAACACTTAACAGTAACTCAAAGCATGATGTTTTGATCTTTATAGATACAGTCTTCATAGATTCCACATACAGAAGAGTTTTCTTTTAAATAAATCATAGAAGACATTAAGTCCTGCTATCGAAGCACATATCCAAAGCTGTCAACTGTGGCAGAATTATGATAATCCCCCTTAAAGCTATCTCCCTAAAGTAACCAATCTTCCAAATACTCTCTGACAGGCAACATTCCATCTAACTGGTAAGCTGCAAGAGCTCACAAACACTTGTTTAACATCTGTGGAATACGCCTGAAGTTGAAGTTAACAGGCAGCAATTTGGCAAGATCAATAAAATGTGCCTTATTCACTTCTCCATTTGACAGATTGTTAGGAACACAGAAACAGATATCTTGTGACTATGCTCTAAACAATTTATTTTAAAAGTGAGGGAAAGGATAGTTCCTAGTATTCCATCAGAACTGTCCACCTCAGCAACAGAATTAGTAGCTGCCTCACTAGATTTTATGCACTAGATTTATGAATGAAGGGGCAAGGACCATGTGTCTACCATTGTGTCCCCAGCCCTAGAATAGTGCCTGGCATGAGCAGACTCACAATAAAAATTTCTAGAAGAAATGAATCATTGAATGAATGAATGAAAGATATTTCTCTAATAAAAGGGTAGAATCCAAACTTTTCTATACATCATGAAGATGCACAGAGGTACCATAAAACTATTTAGGTTACTGCTATATCAGCAACACGTGAAGATTCTTTGAGCTAATTCCCTCCATGTCACCTGAAAAAGGATTGCTTCAGAGCTGGACCCTTCCAGGGTATTGTTGGTTCCAGCAAAAGAGGCACAGATACTCCTGGTCAAGACAGTTTGTTTCCATCAAGAGGTGGGGGGCATCAGAATGAATGAGTTCCTTCTCCTTCACCCATCTTCTCGATATGTCAGGAGAAAGGGTAATCTTGGAAACTGATCAACAAATGTAAAGAGAATCTCAAACAAAGGTGAAAAGTTCTTGGATTATCAGCTGACACTACCTGGGTTTTCAGTCTGTGCTGGAATTAAAATGACTTTACACAATAATTTCATATGGAAATTTAAGGTTAGTTAATTCTTGTATACTTTTTTAATCTTTCTCATCAATGAACACTGGCAAAATTCAAGTTTCTCTGAATATTCCATTCTCTCATCCCTGCATACTATTTCATTATTTCTACCTCATTCCTTCTCACCAGTCTTTCCATTCCTGATCCTTCCCTCAGGGCCCCCTGTAATGTTCATGCCACTCCGATGAAATTCTTCTGCAACTTCAGTCTCTTCAAAATCACTTTTCTTTAGGTTAGTTGAAAATAGCCTTCCTCAAAGGGCATGGTTTTCCCTGGAATCTTTTATAGTAGAGGGTCCTTCTTTCTTTCCTTTTGTACATATTTATTGGTCAGTTACTGATTGCCAGCCTGTTCATTTCCCCATATACTAGAGGGCATGGAGGCAATACCTTCATTCTCTTAGTTTCTCCCACAGGCAAAATACACAACAAGTAGACAGCATAATTCTTACCAAAAACAGAGGCTAAAAGACAAAAGAATCATCATGCTTTAACAAATAACTATCAGCCTACAATTTCCGACCCAACTAACCTATCAAATAGGGACAAATAAAGCCATTTTTAAGACAAAAATGAGTGCTTTAAGCCCCTACAGAGCCTTGGGAAAAATAAAATTAGGTTTAGGTTGAGAAGGAAAGTTTAGGTACTTACCAAGTTTAAAAATTTTAAGTCAGGGATGTATATTAAAAAAATTAGGGATAGCAACTAAAATAATAGAAATAGAGTATATAATATACAAACTGGTTGAGGAAAAATGGAATGAAGAAAACCCAATTAATCCAACAGAACAAAGAAAAGGAGGAGGAAAAACAAATAAAAAAGCACAGTAAATTTAAAACACAAAATAAGATGGTGTATATAAACCCAAAAGTATAAGTAATTAAATACATGTAAATAAAATTCATCAATTGAAATACAAAGAGACTCTCAAATTAACTAAAAAGAAAATCTAGATATTTGTTTACAAAATCCACATATAAAATAAAAGGTTGAAAGGAAAGGATTGGAAAAAGATTTAACAAATTAAAACTAAATTAAAGCTTTGTGAATTGATACTAATATTAGATTTTAAAATACTTTAAGGGAACTGACTATCTGGACTTATGTAAATATAAAAACAAAAGACTGGTGAATGTGATCAGTGTCCCAATTCTACATATTACTCTCAGCCTATAAAGTTAAAGACTTGCTATTTTAAAATGTACCAGTAGTCCCAATTAGTGAATGCTATGATCAAATATTGAAGATGACACATATGGCTGGATCACAATTCCCATATCCTGGTAATCTATCAGAAGGAGAGGAATGAAAAGAGCCTAACCTTCTGACCGTGTGGTATCAGTTCTGAATTTGCTGAACCACTTGGATTAAGCATTTCCAGCCACAGCATTTTGGCCTATAAAACAGATTCTCCCACTAAGGTTTCATAATGAAGCACCTATGGGCACCATATAAAAAATATTTTTAAATGCCCAAATTCCTCTTCTTTAGAAGAAAAAAAAATAAGCATAATATAGTGTTTATACTACAATTATTTTATGCAGAAAGGGAAAGTATTAATTTTTAATCTACTACAGTTTATTTTTGGGTTACAAACAAAAAATTGAGCTATTAAAAATCTGGCTTTCAAACAAAAGGGGTGTTAGGATACTTCAGTGACTGTACTTCTGTTTCTTTAAGTGAATTAAATTTAAAATATGATTTTAAAAAATAGTTCAATAGCACTAAATGTTACTTTATAAACTGGAGATTTATACTTATAAAAGACTTGAATGCCATTTTTAAACCTAAAAATTACAATACAAAAACCTCTCATTTGCTGAAATTGCCATGATCTGAAGTGTCATTTACTTAATGCTTCACAGATGTATGATGCCAAATTGTTAGTCAGACTGCAAAGTATATTTAGTTAGGAAAAAAATCTTCCAAAACATGTTTTCCTATATTTTACTGACATTTACATGGGACACTATTTGAAATGTGTCATTTATTTGCACTTTATGATCTATAAATGAAGCTCTCATTTTCTTTTTCCAAATCAGATACATTGTTACTGTGACCACATAATAGCTTTTCGTTTAAAGACACCATTGTGTCTATAATCCCTCAGACCAGGGTCATGTGCTACTTGGTCAGATTTTAACTGGACTTTTCATCCCACTTACTCTTTGACCTTTACCCCGAGAGTCTTAGTCATCACTGAACTGTTGCTGTAAGGATGTTTTGCTACAAATCCAGCCCACGATTTATCATGAGCCTTTATGTACTTTTAGTAAGCCTGTGTGCAGGGACAGGACAGTACTAATTTTACCATTAGGTTATCAGTATTACAAGAGCATGGATTAATGAATTTGGCTAACACTGAATGCGTGCCATAGCAGGAGGTCACAGGCAAAAATGGAAGAGACTATTGATATGTTTCTTTGTGGTAATATGAGTATGCATAAATAAATGGAAAGTTTGTTATTTATTAATATTAGGGGTTTTAAAATGTCATGACTACTACTAGAGTCCATTATGGGTCAAGTACAATCAGCAATAGTGTAAACATGACTAAGAAACTGGAAAAGAAATTAAAATGGGAATATTAAGAAAAATGGGATTTTTCTGACTAAAAGTAATGTGAATAGTTAAATGGCTATGTATTAACTAGCACCCTTTAAAACCTCTTAATACTATTAACTGCAAAACAGTAGAGTGGGGTAAAATCTTTTATAGGCTGTAACAGTTATAACTATGCATATATTAAATTCACCAATTTCTAAGGAACAGAGATTGTGTCATACTTTAGTATAACTGTAACACATAATCTCTTAAACATATAATGAAGCAAAGTTAAATGCTTACTTACAGAAACTTAATTGTCGACTTTCACAGAATTCTGCATATTGAGCTGAATCCATAATTCGAGTTTGTCTTTCTGCTCTCTAATAGACAATGATAAAAAGACAAAATTTTTTTTTAAAGTTAGTAGACTAGTATATATATTTCACAGCTAAAACTTAGAATTGAAATTCCATTTTCCTTTCCTTACTCTAGATAAACAGTTTAGTACCACCATAAATACCATAATACATAAAATTATGGTAAGTAACAGTAGTTTTGAAGTTTGTTTCTTTTGGAAATAAAGTTTAAAATACCATTTTCCAGTCCCCTGTTATTGTCATTATAGTGGAAGAAAAACCTAAATGGCTTCACTTCTTAGATTGTGCACTTCTAAACTTTCTTAACTGTACCATCCTTTTCAAGAAAAAGAAAATTGTGAGGAAATGATAACAAACAAAAATTGTTATTAACTATTATTGTCCATCTGCCTTAAAGCTGGGATTTTTCAATGTTAAAATAGGAGTCAATGAATGGAATCCATATATTTCCCCTCAGTTAGAACATGGAGCCAGAGCTAACAAATGCATATTTTAAATTGCAAAGAAAATAAAGAAAAAGGTAAACACAACACAAATCCTTTAATCTGAGTCCAGGTATGATTCACAGCTTGGTATAGTTTCATTCGTGGGTTTTTGGAGTCAGTATAGCAGATGTTTGCTGCTTCATTGTCCCACAAGAGGTAGGATAATTATAATTCACCCATAGTTTGGTGGGAAAGAATATGACCACTTCCGCTTCCTTGGCAAGGGAAGCATTTTGAAATGAGACAGGCTGGTACTTCTTGGAATGAGTTTCTGGCCAGTAAAGGAAAAAATTTCCTGAGATTTTAAATTTTTTTCTGCTTTGGAAGGACTTTCAGCAAGTTTTCTTTATCACAGTTGTTGGAGTACATAAGTACCACTTCCAACGTCTGTAGATATTTTTATATTTTTTTAAACTGAAATTATTCTTTTTTCATTTTGTTTGATTTGGGTATGTGGTCAACTTAATTCCAATGATAAATCAGTTCATGGAATTAATAATGGTGCACTAGCTGCAGCTCAGTACAGAAAAGATAGATGGGGCAGGGGGAGCTAAGGTAAAATTTATTACTGTGGCTCCTTCCAAGACCACAGACTCCTCTTCCTCTTCCTTCTTTTCCTCCTTTCCCTCCCTCCTTTCCTTTCTAATCTCCCCAACACATACTCACAAACATACATATGCACTGACACAAACCCAGACTTCTCTTGTTTATTTACCCTCTAGGTTCAAGTATCCTTTTTGAACATATACAAGTAAATATTACACACACACACATACTTATATGTGTCATATGTTCTCATATGTGTGTGTGTACTTATATATACACACACACACACACACATACATATGTGCATATGTACCCTCTTGCGCACGCATCCGGAACATCATGTTTCCTTAAGGGTATATTATTGGGTGAAGTTTTATGTACTTAGAAGTATTTTTTGATATATGAATGCACGGTTTAGTTTTATCCTTCTTTTTAATGTGTCTGACACATGACTCAATAAATGTTTGCCAATGGAAAATAGGAAGCAAGAAAGTGAGAATTTATGTGTTTTGTACATAACAAATCAGTTAACTAATGTGTTTATTAAAAAAACCTCTAAGATTGATAACACTGTATTCTTTTTTTTTTTTTTTTTAAAGATTTTATTTATTTTATTTTTCCCCCCCAAAGCCCCAGTGGATAGTTGTATGTCGTAGCTGCACATCCTTCTAGTTGCTGCATGTGGGACTCGGCCCCAGGATGAACGGAGAAGTGGCGCCTCGATGCGCACCCGGGATCCGAACCCGGGCCACCAGCATCGCAGCGCGCGCACTTAACCACCAAGCCACAGGGCCGGCCCTGATAACACTGTATTCTTAATGTATGTAGTATGTCTGTCTGTCTGTCTATTGGTCTGTCTGTCAGATTTGAATTTCTAGCTCCTAGAAAATATCTGACATATGGTAAATAAGCAATAAAACACTGGTAGAATGAACAAATGCTACCGTTTTAGTCTTTGATCAGGGCAAATGACTATCACCATACTGCAGCCAGTCCTTGATTATCTGTGCATTCCTACAGGTCTTCTCTGCTACTCTCCAGCCAGGGAGCCTCATCCACTCAACACATGCTAGACAGAAAGGACGTGGATAACTACGGAAAAAGAAAGTTCCTAACAGGAGTCTTAACACTAACTTTTCTTCCACCAAGTTGGACAATCAATATTTGGCTTCTGTATGTATGCTTAGATAGTTGACGTATCTGTAATAAGTATCTCTGGAAATGAAAGTTAGGAAAACTTATCCTAAGAGGTTAAGGTTGCCAGGGTTGCCAGCTTTAACTAAGTGAGGTTTTTAGCTAGTTGGAAGACTGAACCGCAAAGCCTATCATCTGATTACAGGTAAAAGACACTGAAGGCCTGTAAATTATTGCAGCTAGCTTCATTCCTTTCAGACACTCTCTTCAGCATCTATTCTTTTTTATTCATTAAGCATCTTGGTTTGATTTCAATTCGTCTAGCTTCCAAGCAGTAACCTTTGATCTCAGGAGCCCCATAAAGCTGGCCCTAGGGCATGCATAGGAAGCCATTTACGCAGTGCCTAGCACACAGCAAACACTCAGTGCAAAGCAGTTGACTCAACAGCAAAGATTTATAGGCAGTACAAAACCATAGCATATTAGAGCTAGAGGGCAGCTTAAAGCTCATCATGTTCAATCCCTCTCATTTTAAAGATAAGGAAATTGAGGTTCAGAGAGAAGTGATTTGCCAAAAGTGACTAAGTTAGAACTGAAGCCCAGGACTCCCAATTCCTGAGCAAGCCTATTTTCATTATAAAAAGCTGTCTCTAACCTATAGTAATTTTTTACTCCAATATTTTTCTTTGGAATCCTCTGAACTCTATGTACATTGTCTCTCTACAACGTTTCATGGAGACACTACAATTAACCTGCCCGAACTGTTCATGAGAAAACGAATTTAGTGAGGCCCTTGGTCAGCACAGAAGGCACAACCTGGGCATAATCTAGTGCAGAGTACATGAACTGTGATGTACCTGATAGTGCATGGGCGTGCTGCAAACACATCCCAGGTGTTCAGAGATACGGTTTCCCCTCCACCTTCTGGACGTCACACAAGCCTGTGGCAACAGAACTCCCAGGCTGGTATCTGGCCACAAGTTGCCTTATCCATTTACCTTGGTGTGGCATAAAAATATTATCATTTTCTATGTGTGCCATGACATGAAAAAGGTTGGGAAGCACTCGTACTAATACGAATGTGCTTGAATATTCCATGACACAGTGCATGCATGCTATGCGCCACGTGGTTAAGTGAGCTCAAGATGAAATCAGAGACACTATGTGGGACTTGAGGATGTTGAGAATGATTCAGATATGCTCATCATGCTAATTTTTGTTTACTCCTTTCTCTTGAAGTGTTTCAAATAACCAAAAGAAAGGGACAAATTTCACCTTATAAAAGGATCCAAATCATTTAGCACCTGATTGCATCATCTCCTGTCCATATACTATCACCTTAAATACTGGGAAAGGCAGTAAATATCTAACCTTCATGGACTATGCTATCTTTAAAGATAGTAACTATGTTTCGCTTCCGTAATCTCAGTGTTGGCCAATGCTTAGCTTGGATTTACCTGGGCCTCAGTAAACGTCTGCTGGCTAGCTGAATGACTGGGCAGATAGATGGATGGATAGACTGAGGCAAAAGAAATGCATATAAATCCCTGTGTGCTGATTTAAAATCAGGAACTATAATTGATATACTGCAATTTATAATAAGAAATATATACTTGGTCTTCATCCCCATTTCTGGCACAGAGCTCCCAAAACCCTTGGAATTTTCTAAGTGTGGAGAGTGAAAAGGTGTCTTTTGTTAATTTTTTGTGTGTGTGAGGAAGATTAGCCCCGAGCTAACATCCATGCCAATCCTCTTTTTTTTTTCGCTGAGGAAGACTGGCCCTGAGCTAACATCTATTGCCAATCCTCCTCCTTTTTTCCCCTTTTTCTCCCCAAAGGCCCAGTAGATAGTTGTACGTCACAGTTGCACATCCTTCTAGTTGCTGTATGTGGGACGCCGCCACAGCATGGCCGGACAAGTGGTGCATCGGTGCACGCCCGGGATCCGAACCCAGGCTGCCAGTAGTGTGAGCATTTAACTGCTAAGCCACGGGGCTGGCCCCTCTTTTGTTATTTTAATGAGGTGACTTGTGGAAAGCACTCAAGGATGGAGGCTGGTTGCCAGTGGAGGCAACCATGTGATTAAAGGGTGAACTTTCAGTCCCACCCCCCCGACCTCGGGGAGGGGAGAGGGACTGGAGATGGAGTTCAATCACCAACACCAATGATTTAATCAGTCATGATTATATAATGAAGCCTCAATAAAAACCCACAAAGACAAGATTCGAAGAGCTTCCAGGATGATGAACATATGGAGGTGCTGGGATTAGTGGCATGCCTGGAAAGGGCAAAGAAGCTCCGAGCCCTTTCCCCATACCTTGCCTCATGCATCCTTTCTGTCTAGCTCTTCCTGAGTTATAATCTTTTGCAATAAATAGGTGATCTAGTAAGTAAAATGTTTCTCTGACTTCTGTGAGCCACTTGAGCAAGTTAATCAAAGCTGAGGTAAAGGTCTTGGAAACCTCTTGATTTACAGCCAGTCGGTCAAAAGTACAGGTAACAACCTGGCCTTGCAACTCGCATCTGAAACCCAAGGAGGAGGTAGGTCATGGAAACCTCCAATCTGTAGCCTGTGGGTCAGAAGCACAGGTACCAACATGGGCTTGCCAGTGGCATCCGAAGTGGGGAGCAATCTTGTAGGACTGAACTCTTAACATGTGGAATCTGATGCTGTCTCCAAGTAGATAGTGTCAGAATTGAGTTGAACTGAGTTGAATTCTTGGACACCCTGCTGGCGACCGAGAACTGCTTGTTGATGTGGGGAAGGCTCCCCCCACAGACATGTTGGAATTGGGTCCAAGAACCTATTTAGAAATATTTGTAATCAAATTGTACGAA